AAAAAAAAAAAAAAACAAGTAAGAACGTTGCAGTCGGGCGTTACCGACTGCGGAATACTCATTCACATCCCATCAACAATTTAGTAGTTAAGTTTCGTTCTAATACTGTAGAATATACAGGTTTTTCCGATTTGCCACGCCCCAACTGGGCGTAGACACCTCATTTTTGGTCAGTTTTTAGAAAGAGATAACGTTACCCTAACTGCAAAGTTTGAATGCTTACCCTAAAAAAATGTGAAAATTACAGGGTATTTTTCGATATGCCACGCCCCTAAAGAGGCGTAAAAATTATTTTTGGGGAATCGATAGAGGAGGCTACCAGTAACTCAACTATCCAAATTTGAAGCTTCTAGCTATTATACTTTAGGAGATATAAACTTTTGCGGTTTGCCACGCCCCCTGTGGGCGGACATATATCCGACAAAACTTTTTGGTCTTGGGTGATCAGTCCGAGTATATATACAAAATTTGAGGTCTCTGCCATCAATAGTGTCCAAAATATAGGAGAATTTAAAAAATCACTATATCTTCAGGTCCGATTTGCCACGCCCCCAACGGGCGTAGACTTATAATTTATCTTCAGACTTTATAGAATCATACCATTAGCTGACGTGCAAAATTTCAGCATTCTAGGTTTACAACTTTAGGAGATACAGTTTTATCCGATTTGCCACGCCCCCAATGGGCGTAGATATATCCGCCATAGCTCGTGATCTTGGGTGGTCAACGCGGACCTACATACCAAGTTTCAGCTTTCTAGCTCTTCAACAAACATGATTTCTGGTATATCGGAAAATGCATTTTCCGATTTGCCACGCCCCTAGTGGGCGGATCGGGAAAATTTTAACACTTTATAAATCGGAGATATACACGAGTATGTGTTCCAAATTTCAAGTCTCTAGCTTCAATAGCGCCGAAATAAATTGCGTTCATACGGACAGACGGACAGACGGACAGACGGACGGACGGACAGACGGACAGACGGACAGACGGACGGACAGCAAGACGGACATTGCACAAAACCAATATACTGATTCACTTTCGTGAATGAGTATAATAAAAATAAAAGGCAGATGTGTTGGGGTAAAAATGAGATGAAGTCATCATTTATAATAGATCACAAAGTGTCGTTGTAAGCGAATCCTCCCCCGGGTAACAAGCTGTGTGTACACTGTACACATGTGAGTACACGATTTCACTGTTATTCAAGACAGATTGTATGAGTGTTTACTGTATGTATATTACTTTATTAAATATTTTAAAATTAATAATTACAAAATATATTATCATTAATATGTATTACATATTTGTAGCTTGGGATGGGGCATATGGTAGGGTAAGGGGCTTTAAAGAGAGGGGCGTGTTTTGTATTCTGCTGCAGCACAACTTAAAAATATCACACACAAATACCACGCAAGAACTGAAAGTTTGATGAATTTTGTCATCGTTCTAAATCTGCGCACTGTCAAAGCTGGGACTTGGCTCTAGCATCTATGGACATTCCTTGTCGCTGATCTTCTGAAAGTCTAAAAGGCAAATACATATATCATTTAATACAGAATAACTAAATTTGCTCAATATAATATGCTAACTCACTTGCATTCTGGAGGCAATTCTCAGTCTTCATAATACAAACATTGCGATACGTTTTGGTGACTCCTTTGTCATCCGCCGCGCATATAAATTGATTCTCCTGCGTATCGCACTCCATGTTGCACTTCACATTCGGATCGGGCAGGCTGAGGCACTGCACCAGTGTCAGCGCATAGAGCGTCACTATAAATAAACACAATAGCCATAATAGTTAGTTAAGCGGAACACACAATCAACAACAAGCAAAAGAAGAATAAGAAGAAGCAATCGCTGCCTGGCAACATGCTCTGCATGCCAATGAGATCCACCCAATATGATATCATCAATAGAAAAAACTCAATCCATCGATTCGATCGTACGCCCATTTATTCTAGACGCCAGCCTGTCTGGCATGTCATTGGCCGGCCGGAAAGTTCGACAATAATACTCAATTATTACCTGGCACAGTCAGCTCTGACTACAAAGAATTAGCTAATAAGCCAAATAGCGAACAATATATTGGTAATATTAAAATGATAAGTTAAATAACATAAAAAAAATGTATAAAATATATTTTGAAGGTTACATGGACATATTTATATTATTTATATTTTTACCTTCTATTGACTATTTCAATAATAATGTAAAATATATTTCCCTGCACATATTTCAGTATCAATGCGTAAATAGGTCAGTTCTGTTGTTGCTTTGGAAATTTTAAGTATTAAATTGATTGCAAAAATCACCACTGTGATTGTATTGTAAATAAATATATGAATCATATATATATAATATCAAGCAACAAAAATTGCATTATAAATACATGAAAATAAATTTTAAAAGTAAAAAAAATACAAAATTTTTTGTATATATAAAATTCATTTTATTTATTTAAAAAAATGTATTTTAATTTTCAATTGAATTATTTCATGAGATAGAATTTAAAAATTTGAAATATTCTTGCAAAGTTAAAAATTTAACTCTCAAAAAATATTCTTGTTACGCAGTGTTAACTGCAAAGTAAATTAAATTACAAATTCTGGGAAACATTAAATGAATTTCGTTAGATGTTCGCAACAGATTTGCGATATTATACCTGGAAATTTATAATTCAATATGTAAAGCCCATTAAATTTGAATAAGCTATAAAAATAAATTTTCAAAAAAAAAAAAAAAAAAAAAAAAAAAAAAAAAAAAAA